AGCAGCAATCTGTTGCAGGAAGGCCACTGGCCAGCTCCTCCCTGCCCTGTTGACAAACAGCTGAAAGGCCACCTGCACTCAGCCTCCAGCCCTTCTCACCTCGTCCTTGAAGAGCTTGGCTTGGTCTTCGCAACCCGTCAGAGTCTGAACAAAGCTAAAGACCTTGGAATAAACAGAGAAAAATGTCAAGACAGGAGCGTTTCTGGCTGGTGACCCCCCATAAGCCCACACCCTCACCTCCACAGCGGCATTTTGCGCCCTGCAAGGTAACACGCGGCTGTCAGGGCAAAGGCTGCAGCTGCAGCACCCTCCCATGCTGGGAGAGCACGCTCCGGCCAGGGCACAGGTGCTGATCGCCTCCAGCCCCAGACCAGCCAATGCCACAGCAGCTTCATCTCCAACAAGCCACCTCCAGCACAGCGACCTCCAGCACAGCCAGATGATTCCTACCGAGGGGCAGGGGCAGGAGAGGGGCACACTGGAGGGGAACGGGGAAATCAGGCAGGGCTGGCTGCTGGGGCTGGTGCCAGAGTTCCAGCTACCCAGGCCTCAAGAGGGGCCATCGCAGATGCTCAAGAAAGTGAATGAAGGTGACGATGAAGAATCTGAGGTAAGGATTTCTTTTTCAGAGAAAAAGGGAGGTGACTTCTTACCTGCAGAGCCTATGGTCTAATTTTTTAACTCGGCAAAGATGAAACCGATTTCTCTGGAAAACTGTAAGATGCTAAATGAAGAGACTGCTGTTTGCCTTCACCTGCCTGTGCTGGGCTAGTGTCACATCCGAGCTAAGCAAGAACCTGGTAGTTCTGCAGTTGCTTCCCAGAAGCTGCCCTCAGGGCTCTCCCCTGTCAGCTGTCCCTGCAGTACCCCACAAGCGTGGCTAGCAGATCACATTCTTGCCAGCCCAGGAAGGTGGCTGCTGAAGCACCTCCACAGCTGGCACGTGTACCGTGGTGCTGCACAGCCCAGTGGAGCGCTCCCAGCCATGGCAGGGGGTTAGAAGCCAGCATGCAGTCTTCAAAACCATCTTACCTCATCAGTGGTCCACTTGGCCACTGTAGTTGCTGTGATGCCAGCCACCCCCGGCAGGAGCTTGCAGTGCTGCTCCCAGCAGAGCGACAGCGAGCGGTCGGGGTGGGCAGACAGGGCAGACATGAAGAGCGACTGGTGCATATTGTCTGAAGAAATAGCTGTCAATAAAAATGCAAGATGTGATCCAACGTAGAAGGATGAGAACATCCCATCAACCCATCCCATCCTATCCTACAAGCCTTGGGGAGGGCCCCGTTCAGGGCAGGGCCCAGGGCTCACAGCAGATGGTCTCATGCGTCCAGGTATCAAGACCTAGGGGTTGTCCCTCAGATTAGCAGGCTATCAGTGTAACCAAGTGTTCAGTTTGGTGGGACTGGGGATGGCGAGGGAAGAAGTTTAGAGACAAGCTTGGCTTTGCCTTGTTCTCACCACCTTCAATCATTTATTTTCCATGCTGAACTATATTCCAATGTCAAACTTCACACCAGAATGCCATCCCATATCATTCAGTTCATTTCAGGTTTTTAACAAAGCTTTTCCCATGCTCTCTGCTCCAAGGCGTCAAGGATGGTTCCCAAGAAGAGATTCTCTTCACTCACCCCCAGCCCTGGGGTAGGCAGCAGGACAGCCCAGGGTAAAACGGACACTGGCTGGAATAAATGTCAGTCATTGTCTTATGTCAGTCATCAGAACCAAATGCCAAGCAAACTGTTCGCCAACTGTTTCTGAATTTGGCACTTCATAACCACACTGATATTTTGGGGTAGAGCAGCCACAGGATGAAGGCACAGCATCCCTGTCTGAAGAGGACAAAGTGCCAGGGACAATGCAGTGCTATAGAGAGAGGATCCTAATTCCCTGCCCTAAAGCACTCAAAGATTCACAGACATAAACCAAGAGATACGAGGAGGGACCCAGCAGAGCTCTGGTAAGAGGCAGGGACATTCCTTCTCAGATGGTCAACTTTGGCAGCTGACCACAAGCTCCTCACTGGTGCCGACCTGCGTGAGGTCTGACTGAGTGAGCCAAGCGAGACCAGCCTCCAGCAGCCACCACCCCAGCTCCTCCAGCCTCGCCCCTGCGATGACACTGTGGCAGAGGACGGCACTTACTCTGGAAGTCTTCCTGCTGGATCTTCCGGTACTTTGGAGGTCGCCCTCTAAAGAGACAGGAAGACTGATTTCCAACTGGGCTGGGACTGGCCCGAGGGCCCTCCTCCGCGCTGCACAGAGCAATGCCTTGGCAGCAGGAGCAAGGATTACCTCTTGGACCCTGACCCAAAGGGTTGACAGCTAAAGACACAAAACGCGGGAAGAAAAACCAAGAGAGGTGCCCAACAGAGCTGGAAGGACAAAGGCCAGCTGCCAGCAACCATGCTTCCCCGCGGTCAAGGAGCCTCTCTGGCTTGGCCACCCCTCCCAGGGATGGCAGCGGTGGCACAGGGGCCCTGCGCTGCTGCATGGGGATCACCAGGCGTGCCCCTACCTCCCGTGGTGCCGAGATTTCTTTCGCTGAGGGAAGCCAATCAGGTTCCTCTTGCGAGTTGAGGCCTCGGTGTCAGACAAGTCCGCCTTAAGCCTGCCCTGGTTCTTCTCCGCCAGCGGGCACCCTGAGAGGCAGTAATGGGCCGTGAATCTCCCAGTCACATGTCCTGACCCGTCACAACCCGGCGTGGGGCACTTCCTAGAGAACAGAAGGGAGGCAAGCGTTGGACCCAGCTCAGAGCAGCGTGGGGGGGTGAGCCAGCAGGGCCACCCCTCTGCCCCCGAGCACAGGAAGCCATGGCCCTGGCCAGGGAAAGCAGAGTAAAGACATACTGAACAAATCCCTGGGGCTAGGGCGCTGGGTGCACAGGCAGGGCACACCCAGTGCCTCCAGGTACAAACACTCATCCCACCTTCTCCACTGCCATCACACTGACCCTGTGAAAGTCATCACTGAGCTGATCAAGCAAGTCATTGGGGTTCACTGAGTCTCCAACTTCCCTTCCTTGCCCCCAGAGGCATCCAGACTAGCCTCAGAGTAAGGAGGAAGCAAATGTCATTGGTGTACTCAGCAGAGAAACCCCTGAGAGCCAGATTTGCCTTCCCCATCCTCATGGATGCTCAACTGTATTGGCTTCTCTTGACGCCAGCCTGCCATGCTGGGGCCAGCACCACACCGTGCCTGGTTTCCCCTGGAAAAGGTCACACAAGTGACTGCCTGAGCTGGGGGAGATGCACTGTTCCTTCTCAGGGCTCCCCAGCTGACAGCCTCCCAGTAAAAGGCATCAATGAGGGGGTCGAAGCTGATATCAGCAAAGAGCATCCTAGAGGCACTGTCCCCTATGTAGCCCATATGTCCCCACAGGTAGATGGGCCTGTAGGCACCCATGGGGGCTCTGGGTGCTGCAGGACAGGCACAGAACAGGAGCTCACAGGACTTACACAAGCCACGGGCTCTGGGCTGCCCTGGGACCCAACCTGAGGAGAGCAAGGGGTGCCCCTAAGCTGGGGGCAGAGCCAGGCGCGGGGTGGGTGCAGGGAAGGGCTGGGTGCTGGAGGGGGAGGAGGAGTGGAGGAAGGGCCAGCAGCGAAGCTGTGCCCCTCTGAGCCATGCTTTGGAGCTCACCTGTGGTGAAAGCTGTACTTGGAGCTCTTGGTGTGAGGGATGCTCTTGCAGCCCAGGGTTGGGCAGCCCCCGTGGGCAGAGGAGGCTTGTTCCTTTGGCCCTAGACCAGGAGGAGAAACAGGAGAGAAACTGTCACAGCTGCAGCCCCAGGCAGAACCAGGGCTCTGGGCTCTCTGCCTGTGCTAAACAGGGAGGATTTTCCAACTGACAACTCCACGGAAAAGCCCTTCCTCCCTGCCCATCCTTGGCCAGAGCGTGCCCTCCCATTTCTGTGCACGGGCAGGTGGCAGTGACAGTGGGGATCTGGCACACTTGGGACCTGGGAGGAGGGACTGACCCAGGCACAGGACTTACTGAGAGGAGGCTGCAGTGGGTGTCCAGTTTTTGAGCACCAGCCTATGGGGTGGATGTCTGGATGATCTGCATCAATCCAGAAATCATAGACATGGCTCCAGCCATCAAAATGGATCTGAGGAGACAAGTAGAGAGGTCACTTCAGGGCAAACCTCAGGACACCTCCCTGAGGAGCTCTGAAACCCTCCAAGCTGACAGCCAGGAGCAGGACAGAGGTGAACTGCAGCAGAAGGCTGTCCGCCGCTCCCGGAGCCAGGCACTGGGACCTGCCATTCTCCATCCTCCGCACAGCGAGCTTCCGCAAACCTCCACACACTTTGCTGCTGCAACAGTCAGTGACCTGGGAAGGGCACGAGCAAACCAGCAAGCCAGCACCGAGACTCCAGCACCCACCTTTATCCTGTGATCTTCCACGTCCTCCACACTGGCCACTCGGATGAAGGACGGAGTCCTCCTGTCCACTGCCTCCAGCTTCATGTTGACCAGGAAGCCGTGGGGTGGGCGCTAGGGCCAGGAAGAACCCAAGTCAGTGGGGAGCAGGGCCATGCTTTGGGCTCTCGCACCCCTCAACAGCTTGCCCACCAGCGCGTGCTCCTCAAGCCCAGCTCCCAGCCCTGGCCTGTCCTGGTAAGAGCTCACAGTGGCAACAGGAGAGAGTGAGGACGGGCCTCTGGGATCTGAGCTATGCTTTAATGAGATGGGAACGCTGTGCCCAAGGGAAGAAGGTCTCTAAGAGATACATTCTGGGGATCTATACTGCAGCCACACTTGGCTAGACACAGCTGCTGTTGCTGCAGTTGGAGACAATAACTATCAAGCAAGCCTAAACAATTTCGCATCATCTGGCTCCTGTCTAGCCAAAAGGATGGTCATACTTCCCATTTTTCCCAGTTGTGAACTATCTGTCCAGGATAGCCCTGACTTCTGAACCTCGAGTGTAGACCTGAACCCCAGGCCTGTAGCAGAGGCACACTGACCATCACTTGGCTTTGCATAAAAGCAAAGACCTGACAATGGAGAAAACCTGAATTCCTGCCCAGGCACAGTGGAGCAGGTGATGTGTCACTCACCACTTTGAAGGCCCAAGCTGGGACAGCAGATGCTCCAGTCTCCTTTAAGTACTTTTCCCAGGTGAAGTTGTCGGGGTCAGGATAATCTAGGAGGGTGAAGATGCAGAAGGTGAGACATGCCTGCAGGACGATAGCACGTACCCCAGAACGTCCTACTGCCTTGAAGGACCAACCAAGTCTGTGCCAGACACATGGGAACATGAGAGACATCAAGAAGTGCTACTATTTTCTCATGGACCATGAAATTCAGGGTACAAGGGAGCAGAAAACATCTGGGCCTGCACAGACCTCCTTGTGTCTCCACTTGGCCCAACACAACCACCGTGCTGCGCCTGAACAAGTGCACAGGAGCCTTGGCAGGAGCACACTGCCTCCCTGGCTGCGGCCCTGCCAAAGGAAACTGCCTAGGCCTGCAGACAAGCAAGGGCCATGGGGTTTGCACCCCCGGCTTCCCATGCCACCCTGGGAAGCCTGTCCCCAAGGGGATGTGCCAGCAGAGGTGGCACTCTAGGGCCACTTGACTCACCTTGAGGAGGTGTGAGGGGTTTGCCGTGCTCCTGACACCATCCAACTGGGTGGATGTATGGACTGCTGGGGTCACACCTAGAAAACACACCCAAAGTCTTACACAGGGCTGAGGTACCCGCCTCGTCACTGCCAGAGATCATGGGCTACAGGGGCCCAGGGCGGGCCACTTGGCAGCACTCCCAGGTCCTGCACCACCAGCAAAAGGCCCTGCAGAAGCCGAGGTCTTCTACAGCACCCTTGTCCCCGAGTGACCCAGGGCCTGGCAGGGCAAGGGCTGGAACAGGGGAACTCTGGCTCAGAGCGGCAGGATACAAACACGACCAGGTGCAAGCTCTGCTGCAGAGCTGCCCAGAGAACAGCAACCCTTTGCTGCGAGCGGGGAGACAGGCCATGCCTTTCAGAGCTTGCAGCAGTGAGACCTGAGCAATTGGGGGCCTCATGTCCTGGTCACAGCTCCCAGCAGGTCACAGCACACTCAGATGCTGCTGCTTTGCGGGGCTGCCCAGGACAGAGCCACAGCTGCCCAGCACCAGCGAGTGAGGAGCAGCCAGGGACAGAAACCACTGCAGCTCCACAGCTCCTCGGGGTGAGACGTAAGAGAACATCAGAGGGCTCCAGCAACAAAGGAAACAGAGTTGGTCTCAAGACCCTGATTGTGCTAACTGTCCATTTTAATTGGCCAGCTGGGACACCTCCCCACGCCATCCACAATCTCCTGCCTACAGCCGCAGGAGCTCCCTTTAAGCTCAGGCCTTCAGTCTCTGCTCTGCAGGTGGCCCCATCTCCCACGTGGGTTTTGGGGCGAGCCCACAGCATGCGATCCTGCCTCTCTTTGCCCCACATTACCTACAGGGCCATGGCAATGTCCAAGGAGGCGACATGGAACAGGCAAAGATTTGTCTCCTAGCACAGGGGGTGACCCTCTGCTGGCCTGTCTGCAGCAGCGTGCTGGGATTGTCCCCCACTTTCCCAAGCACCCCACCACTCTCGCTGAAGCAGTGGCAAGGTGCCTCCCCAGCACTGGCACCCCAGGAGCTACCATGCACTTACCAGTAGTCATAAGTATCATCCCAGTTGTCGAAGTGCACCAAAAAGCGATTGTCCACCACGTCAGTCACTGTGGCAACACAGATCAGGGAGGGGTTCATGCGGTCCACAGCTTCAAGCTTCATGCCCACCTTGAAGCCCGGGGAAGCCTCATGCTGGGAGGAGAAAGGGGCAGGTTTTTTTCAGAGCTGTGGTCCCAGCACCCTCCTCACCACTTCCCTTGCTTGCTGCAAGGAGGCAACTGCCCAAACCCTCCCAAAACCAGACCCTCCCTGGCCTCCAGGCAGGCCCAGGACCACTTAAGGTCCGAGAAGGGCAGTGCCCTGCTGTGCATGCAGAGAGGCAGAGGGTAAATAACTGAGCTTGGCCACACAAAGAAAGAGGAAAATAAATCTTCAGACCCTCAGTATTTTCTATAAGCAGAAACCTCGAAAAAAAAAATAGCCTCCAACTTACACTGATTCAGATTTTGTCACAAAACACTTGTTTGTAGTCACACTCCTCCAGTGTCAGCAGCGACCAGTGCCCTAGGCTTGGCAGGAGGAGCTGGGATGGGGCCCATCATCCTACCTTGCCTTTATTTCTTGGATGCAAAATCTGTGCAAAATGCTGCATCACATACACTAGTGGGATTGTTGCAGCAATAAAGAGGAGGGTCCAGACACAATAAATAACTTGGAGAGGCTGATTTATCAGTAGCCTGAGTTTCCTCTGCAGCTGACATCAGCATTTCGCACTCCACTATATTCCCACTTTCCTCACCCAAGCTACCATATGAAGAATAAAGGCGGAAACAGAAACAATGAAGACACAAAACAGATATGAAGGATTTATACTTACGAAACACTAACTGAGGAGTTTTGGCAAAATAATTGTTGAGAGGAGTGGTTACTTCTCCTCACCAGTACTTTTGCTACAGATTTAACTGTCCATAAGACTGACCCGGATGAAAGAGTGAATCAGACCAACACCATTTTTGGGCACACCAAACTAGTGTCCAAGCTACAGATCCTCAGCAGCAAAGCATCTCATTCAGAAATGCCAGCATGCCAGCAATCCTGGCCCTCTGCACTCTGGGCTTGAGAAGTGTGGGGTGGACAGAGGAAAGCCCAGCACTGGCAGAGGCATTCTGCCCAGCTGGAGGGGAAGAAGTCAAACCTGAACCTGCAGGCTCTGGCAGGAAGGAGAAGCTGCTACTCACAGTGTTTTGAACCATGAAGAGGTGCTTAGGAGCTGCCTGAGCCTTTGTTATCTTCAGGTAGTTTGTCCAGCTGAATTCTTCTTCCTTATAACCTACAACCCCTCAGGAACAGAAATGAGAACAGTGAGTTCACAGGAGAGCAGCCAGGAGGTTGTGAGGCCGAGTCCAGCCAGCCCCAACCAGCCCTCCCCCTGCCAGGCATGTCCTGCTGTGGGGGGTCTACAGCAGCCCTGGGAAACCCCAAGGGGCCTGAGCTGACTTTGAAGGGGTGCTAGGGAATGTTAGCAGTCAGGTGGAAATCCAGAGCTCAGCTCCACCCCAGAGAGCATCAGTCCCACCTGCCCTGGGGCTCAGCTGCTGGCTCCAGCCTGGCACTGGGACATCCAGGGTGACAGGGCTTTGCCCTAGAATGGGAGGAAGCAGTGATCTTTAGCGTGCTGGGTGCCTGAAAGGTTGTCCTGTGGAACCCCCCAGCACAGAAGCATCCCCTCCTGGGCCCCATGGAGCCACCCTGTCCCCACCTCCAACTCTGTGCCTGCGGCCCCACTACTTGTCCCCCTCCTTCAACAGGATTCACCAACGGAGACTCGCTGACTCCTTACCTTTTGGGGGCTGGAGTTTGTGCCCTGTCTCCTCAAACCAGCCAGCAGGGTGGATGTCGGGGGAATCAGCATTCAGCCAGAAATCATGGCACTCAGAGTAGCCATCAAAGTGGAGGCGCATCCGGTAACCGCACACCTACCAGCAGGGAGGGCATGAAAAGGACAGGACCATGGAAACCTCCTGGCTGAGCATCACACGCGCCTCTCCTCCTGCACACAACCTCAGCATATCACTTAGGGAAGCCAAGAGTCAATCATAGCCCAGGGCCCAAATCGGGAGGCATATGCCAGTCCCAAAAGGTGTCCAGCATGGAACAAGGTAAGTGCAAGGCCACCACAAGCCAGCCACGTTCAGGCTGGGCATGAGATTCCATGGTAGGGCACCTAGCTGGTGCAGCAACTGCAAGAATTCACTTTTCTGCACCCGGGAGACATGCTGGTGCAGGGATTTTGGCTAAAGGCCGTGCTGCTTTGGTGAAATCTCTCCAGCAGCAAGAACAGCAGCCACTGTTGTATGGCTGGTCTCCCTAGGGAGCACTGTGAGGCAAGGCTGGTTTGGCTGCCACATGGCTGAGCGGAGAGCCCCACAGACAGAGAGCCTCCACGGACACAAGGAAGAGCAATGGGGTGCCTCCACACCCTCCATCTCAAGGGCTCAGACCTGTCTGAGGGGCATCAGCTCGAAGATCAGAAGCTGCTGCCATCACCACAGTCTCTCCCCCTGTGGCTTTGCTGTGTCAGGAGATGGAGAGACCAACTAGGCTGGGGCACTGCTGCTCTGAAGCACTGTCTCCTGCCCCTACGAACTGTAAAGAAACTTCCCGTTTGCTTGACCAAGGTGCTGGAGTGCCAGCTCATCTCATGGAGCAACACACAGGCAAGGGCCCAAAGCCTGTCTCGTCCACAGGCCAGCCGGCAGCACCTCCCCTCCCACCGAGCCTCCTGCTGCGCGGGTGTGAGGAGGACCCAAGCAACATGGGAACCGGAGGCGCCTTACCTCAGCCACTGTCAGGATAAAGTACATCGATGGGTGCTGCGGATCGATCCCTTCCAGCTTCATCCCCACTTTAAAGCCATTCTTGCGCTGGGAAGGTACTTGGTACTGAAAACAAAAGTGAAACCACAATATAAAAATCAACACAGGTAGTTGGGTCTAAAACCATCCCAAGGAGCAACCATCAGGCAATGGGAGCTGCTGGAACCAGGAGACTGTGGGCCACAGGTTATGTTGTCATCCAAATTTTAATTATTTTCCCATAGAAAAACAGTCTTCCACCTCCTTATGGGTTTGCTTCTCTTGCTGCTGGCAGGGCAGGGAGTCCCTGGGCTACCAGCCACAGCCGGGGAGAGGGGGGCATGGGCCTGGCTCTTCTTTGCACCCTGGCAATTGGACAGCAGGGAGCAGAGGTGCAGCACAGCACCATGGCCTCAGGAGAGCCCACACCTAGCTTCCAAGAAGGTCTGGAAAGGCTCCACCACCCTGCCAGAGCCACAGGGGTGTCCTAGGCAAATGTGGGGTGCTTGGGAAAGGGGGACAGCACCCTGCTGGGAGGTGGGACTCGAGGCAAATCAAAACTGGAGGCTGACTGGTCACCTCCAGGTGAAGATGGGAGCTTGCTTATTGCTCAGAGTCCCGCAAAATAGGGAAGCAAGGAAGAGAGGAGAAGGAGGAGGGGTGGGAAAAAAAAGGGAAAGAAAAGAGAAAATGAAAGAGGGAAAAAGACAGGAAAATCCCAACTCACATCCTGGAAGAGATCTAAAGGGGCAGCGACAGCTTTCTGCTCCTCCAAGTAGGACGCCCAAGACCAGCCTTCTTTCTTCTCCTCACTGGCACCTGAGCGCAGCACAAATGCACACACAAGAGCCGCAGCTGAGGGTCTGCTCCAGCCTCCGTCCCCGCCTCCTCCAGCCTCTGTCCCTGCCTGCCTTGGCCTCGGGGCAGCGTGGAGGGCAGCTGAGCGCACGGGTGCCGCTGGGGCCGCATCTCGCTCTCACACACAGTCCTGCATCCCTGCAAAGCTCAGCACCATCCTACCAGAGCCCCTTCTCTGGCAAACCCCGTCTAGCTGTCCGAGGAGGGACAGAGCCAAGAGGCCCCCCCTCACAAAGGTCCCCGTGACAAATGTCCTCTGTCGCTGTACAATGCTCTAGGAAGGCACCTAAGGAGCCTGAGGGACAAGCCATCCTGTGCAAAAGCATCAGGACACCTCTGCAACCAGTCATCCTCCAGCCAATCCATCCCAACTGGCCACAGCACTGATGGATTTGGGACAGCCAGCAGGATCCATGCAGAGGTCTGGGAATCACCCCCCAGCCACAAGGGGCCCCTGGCCAGTCAAACCAGCAGCAGGCTCACCTCCCACCACTGCTCTGGAGGCACCAGCTCTGCTATCCTCTGCTCCGAGACAACCACCTGAGCCCCTCTTGGCACACCAGGGCCACCCTGGTGCCCTAGAGATGCATTTACCCCTATAGTATTCATGAAAAGATGACAGCATCATCTCTTCATAGGCAGGGAGGGGATCCTTCACGCCCTCAAGCCCTCTGGGAAGGCCACAAAGGCTTTTCCCATGGCACACAAGACATAACCCAAGTCTCTGGCTCTCCAGCCACTTTCTCTTCCTCCTTTGTAGTGCCTGAAGGGATTCCAGGAGCGCTGTGCCTATTCTAGCACCGAGTAGCTCACAGCTACAGGTCAGCCACAGCAGACTGCCTTGGGTAGGGCAGGCAAGAAATGCTGGGGGAAAACAGACCAACTCCTTCCCCCTTGGGCTTAGGGGAAGCAGAGATGGAAAAAATGGGAACTTGCAGAAGAAATTAAAGCTGAGCTCCAGTGAGCAAGGTTACTAACCTAGATGCTTCACTAAAAGTTAAGAGTGGCAAACACTTTTATCATTCTTTAGGATGTAGAAAAAAGTGGCAGGCATGTTTGGGGAATCCATAAGTACCAGCTATGCACTTCTGGAGAATGACAAGTACACCTGGAGACAGAGCATACACCGACTTTGCTGCACTGAAGCATCCAGGTGTGTATTTTGTTTGCTGATGTACTTCTAAAATAAGAGAAAATAAAACGCTGAAATAACAAGGCTCAACACTACTTATGTGTATGCAGCAGGGAAGGTTACATGCTCAGGGCTCAGATTCTAGAGAAAAGGACTTGGCAAGCGGTATGAGATCCCTTTTTAATAGTGGTTAACTCAGTGTAACATCAGGGGTTAATGACATCTGGCCCCTGCTGCCGTCCCTACATTTGGCTATGCAGAGGAGTATGCAGCTGGAACAGTTTCATTTTAAAATTACTTTGAGTATGACCTTTTACTATTCAGAGACAAAAGGTCTCCCATAAATGTTCATTTCAGTATTTTCCCAAGTTTTCTTTCCTCCTCACCCCCATTGCACCACAGGGAAAAAAACCAAACAAGCAAACAGTGCATCCCTCAGCTTGTCTCCTTCCCCTCTGTGTCAACAGCTCTGCATTTGACATCTCCTCTGATATGGGCCAGAAATAGACCCCTGGAAGATGAGACAACCCCAAATCACCCAGTTTCAGTGGCAGCAGACCTACAGGAGCAGCTCCCAAACTTGTGAGCTCCTGATCATGTGAGGGAAGTTCCCCATAAGACTGTCCAAAGAGGGGACAAAGCCAGGTGTGGCACAGTCACATTATTGCTCAGGAGTAAAAGAGGAAAGGAGAGAAATGGAAAGAGACAGAGAGAGCAGGATCAAGCAAGCAGAGGAGCTGAAAAGCCTTCAGGAACATGTACCAGTGCATTGCACTGGGTGTTTGACTCTGCTGGAGAACCAAAATTCTGGCCCAGCCCCACAGCAGGACACCACAGCTGTGGCTGGAGTGCTCACCCCACCGCCCGCCCGGCCCTCCATACCGTGCTGGATCCCATTCCACATATCAGCCTCCAGATTGCTGATGGCAGAGTCTCCGGCAGAGCTTTTCCTCTCTTCCTGCTTTTCCTCCTAGACATGAGAGCAGACAAGACAGAAGTCCATCACATTGGAGGTCTGCACAGAGGTTTATGCTGTGTGTTGTACCCTCGCAGTGGTGCCTCCGCAACATCCATGGTTTGACTGATGCTTGGCCCAGAAATGGGCAGCCAAGAGGATCTGATAATGGGAGCCCAAGGAGGGTTTTGGTGCTGAGTGGTAGCGATCATGCCTGGAGTGGACCTGTGGCAGTCAGGGCTGGCAAGGAGAGCTCCCTTGCCTTGTCACAGTCACTCTCCCTTCCCCAGGACAGGCAGATAGACACTCTCACACTTCAACACTTACTTTGGTGACCCAAACTCAAGAGAGCAGCTGAGAGCTCTCGATACCTACAGCCCAGTCAGGACGAGTCCAGCACTGCCCAGTCTGAGGTGCTGAAGTACTGAGTCCTGAGCAACAGGCCTTGAACCAAAGCTGACCTCTAGAGGAACCCCT